ATTTTATTGTATTCATTTTTTTACATTATTGAATTTTTAGTATTGGATGACTTGCTGTTTTGTACTCATTCATTCATGATTGAACTAAATAAACTCTAATATGTTTACAAATGTTATTTTAAGTAATGATCTCTTATTTTATTAAGATGGTTTCAGTATGTTTTAAAGCTTATAATCTTAATAAAAGTGACGTTTCTTTTGAACCAATAGTCTTCAGTTCTGTAATCATAACACAGTGTGAGTAACCAATCAGAGGAAAGAGGGCGGGCCTTAGAGCACATTTTGATGTGTACGTGCGCGTGTTCGTATTCCATCAACTGAACGCTGTCATGTGATCAGAGATCCTTGACGCTGATTGGTGGGAYTGAGCAAAGGGGCGTGGTCACGTTGGCGGCGTGCGCCTGGCTGTGTGACACACAACAAGTTAGAGGCGCTGCTGTTGAAGTTTACAACCCACTGAAACAACAACAAACCCACATCGAACCAGGTCCATGCAGGAACCGGGACCGACCGGGACCGGAACACACGCTTTGTTTTCACGGACAATGACGAGCGCGCGAGGAGAGTTAACAGGATCATTTCCGTGAGGGTCTGGCAGGAATCATACCTCCGCCCTGTTTTCATCCTGGACCTAGGTGGTCCTGCTGGACTCACTCGGTCCCCCTCKGTCCCTCCATGAAGCCGTGCGGAGTGTCGCTCCCCGCGGCCGCCGCTGCCCGGAGCCTCGGCACCGCTGCTGCTGGTGATGACGGAGAGAAAATGGCGTCGAGAAAAGCCAGTGAAACCGAAGAGGACTCACCGCAGCTAACAGCGCGAGACAAGGAGCTGTTAGCTTCAACGGACAGGTCAGTTAGTGTGTGAGCATGTGGTCCAGTTGTTTCTGTCATTGTACCATGTCCAGAACCTCCATCATGGTCCCGTCAGTAACACGGAACCGCCTGTGTCCTGTTCTCAGCTCTCTGTTTGGGTTTCACGGGCTTCAAGAAGATGGCGCCAGAACGAAGGCCTTGATGTCCAAGGTACTCCGAGCAGGACCACCTGTCCGTTACCTGCATGTCCCACCTGAAGTCAGTGCTACCGACCGGATGTTTGTTAGCTTACACAACTTTAACACAACTTTAAAGCTTGTGTGTAGTTTGTGTGCATGAAAACTACATTCCTGCCATGTGTGTTTAAAATGCATTAACAGCAGAGTCAGTGAACGCATCACCGCCC